CAAGCAGCAAGTGAATGCATTTCACACACACACACACACACATATTGACATGCACAGATAGGCCAAAACGGACAAACGCGACAAGAGACAAAGGCAAGCGGTCACGCTGGCAGGTCAATTGGCTCGGGCCGGCGGAGACGGTGAAACGGTGAAACGGTGAAGCGGAGCTGCCAGACGCTGCCTTCCACTTCTTCCACGTTTTCCACGTTTTCCACGTTTTCCACGTCTTCCACGTCGTCCACATCTTTGGCCTCTTCAGGGTCTGGCGGCACACAGTCGACGCAATCAACTCTGGCCGCTCTTCCCTTTTTCTTCTTCTTCTTCTTCTAAAACCCCAACTGACCCGCGATTGCCTTCGAGATACTCATCCACCCATCCACCCATCCACCCCTCCACCCTTCCAGATGCCGCCTGCAAAGTTGAAGCAGCTGTGAGGCTGGCAGGTCGACAATCTCAGTTCATCAGCAGACATTCGCATCTCTCACACCAACTCCGCGTCTGTATGTGCATGCGTGTGTTTGTTGTCTGTTGGCAGTTCAATTTTTTGCTTGTTTGCCTTTTTCATTTGTGTTTGTCACTTTGTTTGTTGGTGTGTGTTTCTCTATTTCATTGCATGACTCTCTTTGGGTGTATTTGTAAACCTGTATCTTGTGGCCTATTCACCAGATTTGTCCACCAGTGCAAAAGTAAGTCGACACGCGCGCGCGTGTGTGTGTGTGTGTATGAGTATGGAAACGAGTGGCGTGGGCAAAACGGGGGTGGAGCGATTATCTTTGCCATCGCAACGGCTCGAAGTCTGCCTGAAGTGAGGCCAATGGTAAAACGAGTCCACCTGGCGCAACAAACAAAAGTATATTCTCTAAATTGAGGCTCGGAGAAGACAGACGGAAGAGGAGTGTGAAGCGAGCGGAGAGAGAGAGCGTAGGAAGGCATGTGTGTCTGTGTGTGTATGTGTGTATGTATGTTGGTGTGTGCGTGTAGAGCGACAAGGCTCTACCGAATAAAGACCTCAACAAGTCAAAGTCTTGACCGGCATAATTAGGCGTGAGCGAGAGAAAGAGTGCGACAGAGCGAGAGAGAGAGAGCGGTAGAGAGCGAGAAAGCGAGAGAGTGAGGTTAAAGCAGAGGAGCGGAGCCGAGCCGACGGGCCGGATGGAGAGGGCGAGTTTGGCTGGGGCTGGTCGACCGTGCGCAGAGGGCCGCGGACGGAAGAGGCATAAAGGAGCGCGCCTCGAAAACGCAAGGACACACGCACAGACAGCCAGCCGGGCAAAGAGATAAGGCCTGACCGGGGCAGGGCAAACGCGCTCTGGCGTCGTACGGCCCGGCAAGCAGGTGTGACGTCGCATCGGAATGATAGGCGTGACGTTTCATCGAGCAGCCTGATTGGTCGAGCCGACATGCACCAATCAGATTGCATGACTCAGCGCAATCGGCCGAAACGTCCGATGGGCTTGCGTACAATATTGGCAGGTAGGGCTGTAATATCGATTTGCTCTCAATCTCTCTCTCTCTCTCAAACACACACACACACTTTCTCGCTTCACTTATCTGTTCTCCCCCTTACTGGCCCTTTCTCGGCCCTCGTAACCAAGCCTGGCGACTAACTATGAAAAGCAGAGTATTTGGGCTAAAACGCGACGAGAATGAGAGAATAGAGAGTAAAAGAGAAAAAGAGAAAAAGACGAGATGAGAGAGCTCAAGGCAAGTTTAAATTGATGCAAATCGGCATCAGCATCGATATCAGCAACAGCATCAGCATTAGCAAAGCAGGCCACTCCCGTTGCTTGGTGAGTCGGTTTTTATTCACCAATTTTGCGGGACGCTCAGTTGAAAACCGGTCGGCCAAACAGCTCGACTGCTCGAGTCTGCCATCGTGGCCAATCCGAGTCGTGGCCGCGTTGCCAGGACTCGAGTCGGGGCCAGTTGCCGCGCGCTCGAAGTGCGAGCATTTGCGGCTGGCCAAGAGGCCCGGCAAAGAGGGGGCTGCACTCTGTCCGGTCATTGGTGCGAGCAGAATCGGTCGATTAGGCGAATGCATTGGTCTACCCAACAAGGAAAGAGCAAGATGTTGTTGTCACGTGACGAAGATGACACCCTCAGGGTGTCCGGAGGGGCGCGCGGTGTAATCTCGACACCTTGACCGACGCAACGTTGCCACGAGTGGCCTTTGGTTAAAGGG